TTACGCCGCTTTTAGCAGTATTCCAGCAACATCACGGCGGGGGACACCTGAAAAGGGCTTCACACATTGTACCCATGTGAGGATTCGAACCCGGGTCTTCGGCGTGACGAACCAACGCTTTAACCATTAGGCTACCCCACCGCTCCTGATTTTAGAGAAAATGTCATATTTATCATGATGTATTTACATGTATTATATTACCCCAAAACGTGAAAATTTCTGTTTAAGTATAAATGTGTCGCTGTACACAAATATCTTTGATTTGGAAATCGTAAATCCATCTCCCAGTTTTAGGTATAATGGACATGCAAGATCCTTCCCAGTGATTCGGGTATTTCAATTCCAATCATATCTGATACCCTTCAATAAAGTCACAGTTAATGTTTCTGCCAATGAAATCGAGTAATACCAGAATACCAGAGACAGTACAGTGGTTTTGTGTAGGTCCTGTTACAGTATCATTTCTGTTACTTTGAAATAATCCAAATTTGCGTTTTTTCTTGATTTTTCGCTTCTAATCTCCCATTCCTAAAAGAAATGCACGCATCAAATAAGCGGGATGATAACGTGACTGAAAATACTTGCATGTACATCCATGTATATACAGTGAAATCAAAAGTTGTAGCCTACCTGTGAAATGTTTTATTGTGGTATTGAAAGTGATGCTTGATATGACTTAAAGATACAAATATGAATACAATTACAATCACCTACAATCTATGCAGTGTATTGAGAATCTGTACTATAGTATTGTCGGAAATAGAAAAAAAACTGTTTTTAGGCTCTTACTCTGTATCCCTAAAATTTACACAAATGCAAATAGCATATGTCGAAATAACCCACTTCGGCCTAACTTGGCATTCAGTGGGATGCGTAATAGGATATCCAGAAAAAACATGTTTACTCGTAAAATCGGGCAAAACTTAGAAAAAATACGAATAGGTGCTGAAAACAATAGATCAGACTATAGATGGCAATTAGGTCGCTCAGCCAGGTATGACGACGGACCGTCATGAAATACATGTGCTGCCTACAGGCGCCCAAGGGGTCATCTCAAAGATATTTTGTGCTTTTTCATGTGTGTTGATTATGCCTCATCTATTGATTAACAGCTTATATTTTTTTGGTATAAGTGTCGTATAAGTATAAAGATATGTAAAAGGGTTTGATACCTGATAACCATAGAAACGCATCGTATTAAATGTCTCAAAATATATAGGTGGCATGACCACCCGATCGCGAAGATCGACAGGACTGGATATTATTTGTAAATTGTTAGGACATGTCGTTTACTTCCCCAGTATAATTCCCCGAGAGGATTATCGTATCTGAGCTGATATCTCTATCCCCAAGCCCCAACCCCAACGATCGTCTGCGACACCCGTCCAGGTTTTGCTTTTGAGACGAACCCTCCTATCTGTTTTTTTTTATAGTGACAGTGAGACTCCATGGTAGCTACATCCTTAATAGTTTCAGCATGAAAGTTATTATTTTTTACACCAGCTATCTTTTATAATGAAGCTACGTATAATTTCAAATTGGTAACTTAAAAAGTGTCCTTTATAATACAATATCGCCGCACACTAATTTGCATACAGCCATGATCTATATACAAGTCAATTATATGTTTATCAACTACACTTTCATGTATACCAGTAATAATTACTGAACGAGGTAAAGTTTTTTTAATAAAAGGTAATATAAAGTTTAGTTTGTAAGAAACATTGCTATATCTTAGGTTTTTTTGTGAATAAAGTAAATTTTTGCAAAATTGTGAAAAAGGAGATTTCGATTGCCGCCCGATATTCAAACCTAAAACTGTATTTTACATATTGCGTTAATTGTTTACATATTTGGTTAATTTTTTTTTACATTTTGCGTTAGGTGTTTTACTTTTGGCGTTAAAGACATCTTTTACATATTGCGTTAATATTTTACATATTGCGTTATTTTTTACGTTTTGCGTTAAGTTTTTACATATTGCAGATGACAATTCCACATTATAACTAAGATGTGTATATCCATACATGTGTATTAAGTTATTCCCGCAAGTCTGTAAGACAGTGTTATTGAGTTTATTGGGACAATAAACCTTAATACAGCCAAATTTGATTTAAGAAAATTTACTCTACACCATATTATTCCAGGCGTAATATATTTACAGTTAACATTCCTCGTGAAAAACGAGCAACCACTCACTGCACATGGGCTTTTTACATTTGCCAAGAATACTTACATAAACCTTAGCAGCATCTGAAGTAAATCCCTTTGTTTCGCTTATCTGTATGAAACAAAGAAACAAGAGTGTCTTTCAAATTACAAACAACAACATTTCAATGGTAACATGAACATACAAATGTTTCCAGAAGTTCAGATTCAGGCATTTACAAACACTGTCACATGAGAACATATACTCCCAGCCCGCCAGCAAATCATTCATAAAATGTAGGTCACCATTGCATATTTTCAAATTGTGTTCTTTCCACTGCGCTGGAAAGTTATTTACATCAGGCACCCAGTGCCCATTAGTAGACCACAAGATGTGAACTTTGGATTGTCCAGAATTGGAGTAAAGATTGGGGGACTGAGGTCATGAGGGCACAACATTCACACTTTTGTGTGGTCAACATACATTTACCGGAAGAATCAACATAAACCATACCGATTGAAAGTTTTAAATACTTTAATTCCCTGACATATTGGGTATAATATATACTGAGTCAAAAAAACAACTTCACAAAATGTAATTTGAAAAATAATGAATAATTTTTCTCTGATGATACATCTATGTATCCGAAATGGGATCCCTATCTTTCGACTCTAGAAAAACGTTAGCAAAACCCACTCAAACCCATCCAGTCGTCGTGCAAATGACGTGAGTGGCAAATCAGGTTTTGCACGTGGTGTCGATCATGTTTTCTTCATATGCACGTGTTTGCATTGGCCTCAAGAATTGAAAAAAATACTTTTAAACCACAGTTCTAACGGTACTTGAAATGCCACGATTGTCAAATGTGCAACGTGAACGTGGCGTTGGCATGTTGCAAGCGGGAAGATCAGTTATTGACGTCGCAAGAGCAATGGGATGCAGCCGTTGTACTGTGTATGACTTGTGAGGTCGTCTGCAACAAACTGGCACCACTTCTGATCGCCCAAGGTCGGGTCGTCCACGTGTGACGTCACGAGCAGAAGACCGTCAAATCGTCCCATGTCACCTACGTGACAGATTTCTGCCGGCTACACGAACCAGGGCTGAGATGTTTAGAGGTCGACTGTCCTCACAGACCATTCGAAATCGGTTGCGGGCTGCCAATCTCCAATCTCGACGTCCATATCGTGGGCCAATATTGACGCCGTTTCATCAACGTCAACGTCTGCTGTGGGCCCAACGTCACCTCCGATGGACCCAGAGAGACTGGAATCGAGTCGTCTTTAGCGATGAATCCAGGTTTACCGTCAGATTCGCGGACGGCAGGCATAGAGTCTGGAGACGACGTCGTGAACGGTATGCCCAATGTTGCGTACAGGAAGTCGACAGATTCGGGGGCGGAAGTTGCATGATGTGGGGTGCTTTCTGTGGGAACAACCGTTCCCGACTTCTGGTCATCCGTGGAAACCTCACAACTGCTGCCTACCGCGACCAGGTACTCACCCCTGAACTCGTTCCTTTCATTGCGGCTCATGGCCCAGGTCTACAGTTCCAGCATGATAATGCTCGGCTGCATACCGCGATGTTGACACGAAATTTCCTTCAAAACGCTGGAATCAACGTCATGGACTGGCCATCGAGGTCCCCTGACCTTAATCCAATAGAGCACGTTTGGGATGCACTTGGGAGAAGGCTTCGTGGTCTTGGGAACCAACCTCAGAATTTGCAGGAACTTGGCGCTGCCTTGCAAGAGCAATGGCGCAGAATCCCCAACCACGGGTTCACAAGCATCAGGCAGTCGATGAGAAGACGGTGTTAAGTAGTGGTGAATGCGCGGGGCGGCCATACACGATATTGAACTCAGAAATTTCGCATTTTTATTCTTGTGACTTGACATTCTGTATACCCATGTTTTGGAACGGCGGTGTAGCCTAATGGAACTGATTTTGGCACTGTCAGTGTATCGAGTACATCACACAGATCTCAGCAATAAAATGATAACAATTTAACCATCTTACCATCTCTTGTTCTTTTATAGTGCCCTGAAGAAAGAATGTGAAGTTTCTTTTTTGACTCAGTATATATATGATATATATTAACATGTAAAAGGGTGTAGACCCGTGAAGGTCCGGGTAAGAATATTGACTTTCAGTAACCCATGCTTGTCGTAAGAAGCGACTAAGCAGATCTGGTGATCAGGCTCGCTGACTTGGTTGACACATGTCATCGGTTCCCAGTTGCACAGATCGATGCTCATGCTGTTAATCACTGGATTGTCTGGTCCAGACTCGATTATTTAGAGACCACCGCCATATAGCTTGAATATTGCTAAGTGCGGCGTAAAACTAAATTCATTCACTCACTAATAGGGTGTAATATCCTAAGTATGATCTGATGAGCAACCCTGGACATTGTCTTCAAATTACACCTTACAATATCCAATCTTTATCTACAGCAACAGGTTAAATATTTGAAAACGTCATTACTATAGCCAGTGTGATATAAACGAATAGGACGTTGATATGCCTAGTGATTGAAAAAATACATAAGGAACTGTACAGTTCTTTGAACATCCAACTTTGCATAAATTCGCTCAGCTCATGCAATCCACTGATAAAAAGATAATCCAAGCTACAGCTATGTTCCCATACAAGGTGTTCAACGCACGTCCTGTAAACTCTTGAACTTTAAAGCTAAAATTACTGCATTCAATATACATTATCAGTCCATTTCAATACCGTATTTTCGGGACGAGGCCTTGTACTGTAATATATCTGTCTGTCTGTACTGTGTGGCGGAGATATTGCTAATGCGACGTCAATCTATCTCACATATATACATTTGCAAAGCCCAGCGTTGGGCGTTCAAGCAAAACAAGCCTGCAGTTTAGGACAAACTGACATTGTTCTTCAACGTTGACTTCTGAAAGTTAGATCAAGGATTGCCGACCCAAATCAACACGAACTTCAGGGTGAGTTTGCTTCAACATTCTCAATGACCAAATTCAAATTTATCACCCGGTTTGCCTTTCTTTGGTATAATATACTGTTTACGTTCAGACATACTTGCCTTGTAATTTTCATCCAACGGCCAATTGGATATGTGTCCCATCTGTGAAAATATAAATAACAACTAGCCGGGTGGAGAGGGAATGGTAATGGCCAGGTAACTGAATGTTATGACGGAAGCAGTAACAGTAACCGTTTCACTAAAACAAAGACGACAAGCATGACGAAAACGTTGTTGTTAATACGGAGGCATGTTAAGCATGTGAGGATACTGTAGCAAAAGATGAAAACATATTGATTAAAAGTTGTTTCTACCTACCAGACTTCCCATGTTTGTTGACAACAGGAGTGTTGCAATCTTTGAAGCTTGTCAGAGCAATGACTAATTCATTTGTGTCGTATCTAACCAGTCAGTGGATATGGACAGCGCATTATGTGTTATTATCCAATCAAAACACAATTACTTTTTGTACGTCTATATAAATAACGCTTCAATAAATGCGCGATCAAAGGATCGGAAACATGGGTGCAGTAAGTAATGATTCTTATTTATGCATGTTGTGACTTCGATTTGGTAGACCTCACAAAGAGGACTTCATTAAAGTTGAGATTGAAATTTAGTAACTTCATTCCGTGTTTTTATATATTATCAACTACCCTACCCTCGTGGTAGGATCAATGTGAAAAGACAGCAAATAAAAACTGGTATTTTCAACGTTTTATGGTTTTATGTTGGCACATTTCTACAATCCAAGTGCCATCACTATTTTATTTCCCTGAATCAATTTTAGTTTTTCCTTTGCCTGTGACAGTACATCAACCGATATCTTTCTATGATTCTATTGTCCCACATGCTCTAACCCGTCTATTTATTGTTTCAGGGGAATTCGAGCAATTTTCATGGAGAGGTGAGAGTTATATTTCGATGTTTAGTTACAGATGACAAGGCGGATAATCATATTAAATATGCTGAATTATGTTCAATGTTCTATTCATGAAACATAAAACATAACCGATCATTTAGCTTTGAAATGATCAAAACTCAACTATCCACACACACACACACACACACACACACACACACACACACATTCATAAGAATCGAAAAAATATCTGTACCAAGGATCTTCAGACGTGTGTGTGTACGTGTGTGTACGTGTGTGTACGTGTGTGTATGTAAGTGTGTGTGTGTACGTGTGTGTACGTGTGTGTACGTGTGTGTGTGTGTACGTGTGTGTGTGTGTGTGTGTGTGTGTGTGTGTGTGTGTGTGTGTGTGTGTGTGTGTGTGTGTAATACTCCGTTCCCTCAAATTGATATTTGATTCCGACCTGAAATACAAACAATGAGACCTGTGAGATTGCATTCAACTTTCCAATAGTTAACATCATCACTATTTGAAACACATGGTCATGAATCCCGAGTTGTACAATCGACTCAACGAAATTTGTGAAAGTATCATTGTCTAGGGTATGTTTTCTTAACATTGTCTCACTTTTCTGTTTGTTTTTGCTTCAGAGGATTGACTGTGGACAGCATGTTGGACACTCGGATGTGTCGAACTTCATCAGGACGCATGACATCCAAGGGGAGGATAGACGGATACTTCAGGGCTGCTACGATCTTTTTGAATCGAAACCAGATTTCGTTTGGCAAAATTGCTCCATCGAAGTCATGTGCTCGTCAGTTGAGGTAAAGTTCGTGTCTGGCGATGAAAGCAATCGATACCTCTTACGTTTTAGAGAAGGTGAAATTTGGACGGCGGTTTTGAGAGAAGAAATAAGCACACAATTCTTCAATGTGTATGAGTGGTTATTTAATCTCGTGAAGGGAGTTGGAGAAGCAGTTGCTGGAGCTATCCAGCAAAATCCTAATATTCTACTCCCTTGACATATGAAAATTATGAAGTGTTTTATAGTGGTGCAGATACACACATTAAAGAAAGAGACCAGAATATATCTTGCTTTGTCACAAACGGGATCCCTGCTGCTGTTGTTATGACTCGGAGTGTCTATTTTCATATCCTCAGCTAAGAAGTGTTTATTATCTACATGGGTACTTTCGGTCATATTGGTTAACGTAATCCTGTTCTGAGGTGTATATCTATACAGAACACTTTGGTTTTCAAAAAGTGATCACATACATTGTAATACATGTAGCTATGTTTTAATAAACTTGATTATCTATCTTTAAAAAATGGATATGTAATTTTTTCTTGGCGTGAGATATATTTTTCACGATCGAGGTGGTGCTGATGTTCGACCGCCGATGTGGGGCGTGGTGGTGCGCGTCAAACGCAGGGCGGCTCCGGGGGTGGTTTTACTATGCCCGTTTCGCCGGTATGCATGGGTGGGGGGACTCGACTCGCGTTGACATCGGGATTGCTGCCCAGTTTCTGATCGAATGCGACTTTCGACCGGGTGCATTCCAACGTGTCCTGGTAACGCTTGATGGCCGTTGGTAAATCCACCGGTTTGGCGATGGCGTCCTCGACGTTCACCGCGAACGGTTAGGTCTACTAATGCCTACAGTGAATAATGCCTACAGGGAATAATAGCTACAACGTTTGCAGTGACAGCGATACGCTTACCTGCACACAAGTAGATTGTTCCACTTAGTGTGCACTATTGCCTAAAAGGGATAGTAATTAATAGAGAGATTATTAAAGGGAGAAGGAAATGTATTGCTTTAAAATTGAAGAATAGAGTAATTAATTGAGAGATTATTAAAGGGAGAAGGAAATGTATTGCTTTAAAATGCTTGTGATACAAATCTTCATTGCAAATCATGGCAAATCCCAAGATTATGTTTATTTATGTAAATTTATTTATCTCAAAACAAACTACTATGTGAAAGATATGAATAAAGTTTAAGAAAATTAAGAAAAATATGACAACAATGTGAAAGATATGTATATGAATGTACATATGTATATGAATGACCAAATAAAATGTCTCTCAACATAGAAAGTTACTGTTTTCTATATACTGTAGGCATTAGTGCACTTTGAAATAGGACCATGCCACTTTATTGAAAGGTTGAAGGCAGGTGCAATCAGCAGCACTGGTGCGTAAAGTTGTTTATTTAACACTGTAGGCATTATTCACTATAGGCATTAGTAGACTCCACCCCGCGAACTGTTTCTGCGCGTCTTAACTCATTAAGCCCGAGAGTCTCATCACTCCTCAACACCTGGAAGCCCTCGCTGATTGCCCACTCGCTGTGCCGAGACTAATTAGTGCTAGTCACACCTGATTTCCCTGGCAGGTTTCGGGGATCACAGGAAACTGTCTAGTCGTACAAACAAGTCCTGATTGTTTAATTGTGTCGTAAAGATATATGTTGAAAGAAATCAGGTGTGAATACATGTCGTGTATTGCAAGCTTTATGTAATGTATTGCAAGTTTCTCTTGTAGACCTTTTGTCGGCTTGTACATTTATATTTTATCACAATATGGATACACGTGTATTCTTTGTATATAACAGATGAGACACACGTTAACAAATTCTCTCTCTTATATCATTGTGTGAGGTTTAAATTTACAAAACATCTATGACAATGACATACTGTAAAGAAACATTTACTTTCATACTTTATAATCTTATAAACCGAAAATAGCGGTTTTGCCGATACATTTCTAGTGTTTACGAATTATTTTAATGAAAGTACTATAACGCTAGTCTGTGACTAGCACAAAGCACATTCATAGCATTGCACTTTATTTCATACAGATTTAATGCAGAAAACATACGTGACCATACAAACATACATATACAAAATGTATACTACATATTCCTTGCATAGACACAAAACAAATAGTCACCTGATAGGGCGTCATCAAATTTCCCGAATAGAACGTTCGGTATCTCAACTGTTCAATGTAGTGGCTGGTCATATGTTATCTGCGACCAATCGTATCATAAGATACCTGTCACAGAGGAAAGGACAGGTGACGGGGCGTGGGCGAAATTTCTGAAGAGCACGTTTGGTCACTCAGCAGCTTGGATAGAGATTGGTTATTGGCTATATCCTTGACCAGTCGATATGCTGGGTTTCGGCTTCATCAACTCAAGCTATCATGTAACAGTTTGTGTATTGTAAACATACACACTGGTAACAATGTATGAAATATACACATAAGACAAATAGGAGTAGATAGTCACTTTGGCGAGTACATTTGTCCTCATTTTAGTGTTTTCCGATAAGTAAAACAAAGCGATTGAAATCCAACCACTGATGTACATGTAAATATAATCTTCACCTTGATACGAATGACTATCCAAACTAGAGTACACGCATTACAGAATTCACGAGGTGACACTATACTGAATTATTATAGTGTATAAACTTGCAGTTGACACCCCCACCCCCAATATTTATGAAAGTGGGCGTGCCTATATCTTTACTGAATGCAAACGAGGTTCATAAGATTACAGATGTGCATGCATGTATAAAAGAGAGGGGCCTGACTCCATAAAGCAAGATGTCCAATGATATAACAGCGCATCTGTTTATTTTACACTTGTCACGGGACAAACCTTTCAACAAGGACGTAACTACATATGCATTCTAACTGAGGCTGTTATTTCAAGGTCGAAAGAGGCGTTCAATTATCTCATTACTGTAATCTGCTTGAATGATTATACGCATGTGTATCGATACCGTAACTGATATACTATCCAGCTTTTATTGACGATGGATCAATAGAGACTGAGTTGATTGATACACGTGATAATTGCACCGGATTTGATAATTACACAGATCAAATACAAACGTTTTACAGAATGCTCATGTAAATTGCATAGAAAACTGACAATTCAAATCAACATGAAACTTTCAACAGCTTGAACAAAAATGCTTGAAATACCTTTGTATGGCTTACATGTAATAACTTATGACATTACTTCTGTCCATGTGTGACAATGTTTTGAATTACCAACTTACTGTCTTTTGTAACAAACGTAGTAAAACATTTCATTGTTGTAATAACACTGACATGTATGTATGTATTCGATGCAAAGGCGCGACTTATCACTTTATATTCGCTTAGGTAACATTACGAACTTTATATTATGGAAAACAACTAGTTACAATTCAGTAAACTTCAAATTAGTAAGTTCAATTATGTTTAATCTATTCGAGCTTGGATGTATAATTACTTGTGTTTATACATATGTTTCAGTATATGAAACATGGCAACGTAATGATGCCTAAAAAGTAAATTCAAACTATTCCATTGTGTTTGAATTCTTTGTATGTCCTTGAAATTTCGTATATTGTTTCCTATTTATTAGGTAGTTGAACGAAATATATTTTTTAATAACATCTAAACCATTACATCTAATTCAAACAAGGTGCATACGAAGTATTTTAGTATCCATTCCAAAGGAAGAGTACCAGACACTTACCTCTGTAAAAACATCATAATCCCCTTTCTCGCCGACATGCGTTCATTTGCTAAACGCTGTACAAGCCTATGATACTGATTAGCAATTGTTTTCAAAACACTTTAAATACTTCTTCTGATTGATACTAAAGGTGGGATCTCTCGTAAGAAAAGCTAATATTTGCTCAGTACTGCTAAATTGGTTGAAATAATAGGTACAGTGCGATTTTTAAAAGTACAACAAACATGTGCGTCTCTCGCTGAATAAGGGGTGCTTTCTGTTGACGACTGTATGTGGCTCGCGCGGGAAGAATTCGAAACTGCTAATTACCTGCCCCATAAACACGTCACTCGCTGTAAGGAGCTGATTAATTTGCCCCATATATGCGTCTCTCGGCCTTTATGAGTTAAGCGGTTCCCTTACCAATAATACCGCATCTGCGCCTGTGAGCCCAGCACGGCCCACACGTATGTTCGAATCGAATCATATGGTACCCGTGCGAGTAAACCCTTTAACCTTTTTCGATATCATTATCATCCAGGCGGTGGCCGCATCGGTATCGGTTTGAAACGTGAATTTGCTCGTTCGTCGTGGGGCCTGTAAACGTATGGTACCCGGGTATGTACTCACCGTCTGTATAAGCGAGTCTAAACGTTTTGGATTTATAGAAATAAGTGTCGACTTTACCTAAACCGTGGTTCACACCGGGAAGGTGAAAGTATTTATTGGTTGGAATCATAAATTCCCTGCAAATACGTTCGTACACACGTCGATCGTACGGGTTATCGAGCATGGTCCATGCTGTATCTTGCAGGAGAGGCGCACCTATTTCCTTCAAATTCCGTCTCGTCTGATAATAAACGTGAAACAAGGTGACCGCCTCCCTCAGTTTGTCCGTTCCATAGTCGAGTGTCATACACGACCCCGTCGTCGCGCACCACACGGCTAAATTGAGTTAGTTTTGCCAAAACTGAATCGGGTTTTGATTCCAATTCACCACCACCTTAGCATTACTGACGGTCACGATATTTTTTTTGAAAATATCGATAAAATTCATTTTAAAACTCATTCCGTCCGCGTCCACCACAATTTCCATATTCGTTAGCCCATCACTCATGTTGAAAGTATACCGCAGTGTCTCGTATATGTGTAACATGTACATAAAGCTCTCGGGAATCACGAACGGTGAGCCCGTTTTACTGCTGCACGTGATCCATAACACGTCGGGGGATCTCGAAGTCGCTCTCTGTGATCCCACCTACTAGTCTGGTAGGATGGGTACAGCATTCAAGTCCTGTGGAAGTTTTGGGATGAAAGCAAGACATTGTGTTTTTTGTATTCATCAGACATGCTAGTTAAATAAAGTTTGCTTCCAAGTTGAAATATGGTGCAAATAGTACTTTTGAGCACTGTACAAAATGGTTGTGGAAAAGGTTGCTAAAAGGTCAGAAGGTCATAAGGGGAGAGTTGAATATTTAGAGTTTGAGGCTATTAACTTTATCCAAGTGTGTTTCTCTATTTCATGAAATATGTTATTGAAAGAAAATCCCAAAATATATTTTTTTTAAACTAAAAAAATAATATAATGAACACTCCCTCTCTCACAGTGGCAGCTAGCAGACGAATTTAAGCAGATGTAGGTTTTGTGCATTTCGTAAGTATATGATTGCTTCATTTCATCAACTCAATGTTAATCAAGTTATTAAAGAAAAATTATGTAGGAAACAAAAAAGAGATGTTTATTTTTGTTTGGTGAGACTGTCAGTAAGGGAGCAGTCCTTATTTCAAAATGTAGTTGGTCAATATCAA